GTTCATAGAAATTTTTATCGATGAGCATCGCTTTAGGGCTTTAATCGATACTGGTGCCGATCTTTCGCTGATTTCGGAAAAATATTCCTACCTGTTTGAAAATAAATTAGAATCATGCGATTTGTCTTTCAAAGGGATCACTTCTCAAGTAGGTCGTGCTAAGAGAATGTTTACTGCTAACACCAAGGTAAACGATACGCATACAAAAGTCACTTATGTGGTCGTACCCGACAAATGCCTTGATTACGATGTTTTTATCGGTCGTAATTTGTACGAAGACCCTTCAATTATGACAATAACTGATTACCAAGGATCAAGAGTATTGCGACAGCAACTTCCAGGCATAAATCGTATAATCGAAATAAGTGAGGAATCTGATATACAGGTTCCTCAAGAATTTCGTGACCAGTTATTGTCGGTTTTGTCAAATTACTTCGATATGTTTACCATTGGTCATAAAGTTGGAACTGTCAACAATGTAAGTTTAAAAATCCGTCTTGATAAAGACATAATTGTGAATAGGTCGCCGTATCGATTGGCACAAAGTGAACAATCTGTCGTGAATGACATCATATCTGATTTATTGGAGAATAAAATTATACGGGCAAGTGAATCACCGTTCGCTAGTCCCATACCACTTGTGAAAAAGAAAGAAGGTTCTCTGCGCATGATTTTCGAGAGCTAAACCGGAACACTATTGAAGATCGTTACCCCCTCCCATTAATCGATGACCAACTTGATCGTTTGGGTAAAGGATGTTTCTTCACATCATTGGATATGGCGTCGGGATTCCACCAGATACCAATCGAGGAAGAATCTATTCACGAAACTGCATTTGTTGCCCCAAACGGCCATTACGACTACCTTTAAATGCCTTACGGTTTGGCCAATGCACCAGCGGTATTTCAGCGTTCTCTGCACTTAGCTCTGGGTTCTCTGAAAGACAATATTGCTTTAGTTTACATGGATGACATTTTGATTCTGAGCAAAACCCTACCCAATCTACCATCGATTATCTGGGTAGAGAAATATCAAGTGAGGGTATTCGACCAGGTACACGAAAAATTCAGGCATTGTTAGATTCCCCAGTACCTGATAATGTGAAGCAAGTAAGACAATTCATGGGCCTCGCTGGGTACTTCAGAAAATTCATTCCAGATTTTGCAAGTCGGACGGCTTGCATTACTAGGCTTACAAAAAAATAATGTGCCATTTGAATGGGGCCAAGATCAAGAAAACGCCAGATCTTATGTGATTGGTCATTCAACTTCAAGACCCCTTCTAGTAGTTTATGATCCTGCTCAACCAACTGAGCTCCACACCGATGCTAGCAGTCTGGGCTATGGTGCGATTTTGATCCAGAAGTATGAGAGGATAAGCCCAGAATTGTAGCATATTTTAGTAAACGAACTACTGACAGTGAGTCCAAATTCCATTCGTATGAGCTCGAAACGTTGGCTGTGGTGGAAGCATTAAAACATTTTCGAACATATTTTGATCCAGAAGTATGAGGATAAGCCCAAAGTTGTAGCATATTTTAGTAAACGAACTACTGACAATTCCATTCGTATGAGCTCGAAACGTTGGCTGTGGTAAAAGCATTAAAACATTTTCGAACATATCTGCTTCGTATCAAATTTACATTGGTTACCGACTGCAATGCTTTGAAAGCTACAGCTACAAAAAGGGATTTGCTTCCTCGTGTAGCTAGATGGTGGGTGTACATGCAAGATTTCAATTTTGACATTGTTTACCGAAAAGGGAAAAATTTACTTGAGTAGAAATCCGTCAACCACTGTTCGCCGTATTTCTCATAATAATTGGGCCTATCTGTATCTGTAGAGTAGGGAGGGTGAGTGTAAGCCCACGCACTTAGGCCACATGTGACCCATTGTACATCCTCCCGAGGAGTTGTCCTCCTAGGTCGTCGTCCATCCTGTCCTTTCCAGGAAGGTGGACAGGTCGCTGGGAGACATCTCCTTTATATCGGCAGGTGTAGGCCAAGACTCGCCGAACACACACTCTCTTATTGACGATAACTCCGGGCACTCGCACAGGACATGCCTGACAGTCTCATCTTCCTGTTCACACATCCTGCATAGAGGTGTGTCCACTAGCCCCATATTATGTAGGTGTTTCCTTAGCTGACAGTGGCCAGTCAGAAATCCTACTGTAAGGC